CACTTTCTGACACGCCCAAAAACCCCAAGTTTTCTTGGGACCTCAAATAGAGAAGAGTTCACCCAATTCACACAGGTATTTGCAGGCACAGATAAATCCTTGACTAGGCTCAGGCTTTTAAGAAGGTCTAATCTTAGATTCCTTATTTAAAAAGGTTTTCAGCAAAGCCAATTTAAAAAAAAAAAAAGGAGCCTGTATAATAAGTGATTATTCTTGCTGTGCTTTATGCAAATAATCAAGCCAAGTATAATAGGTCTAAAAGGTATTTTACAAATAAGTTGGTCCTACTATGATTTTAAGTAAAACTGGATTTTTGGAGAGAAAAAAAATCATCTTCAAAATAAATTATAGTATATCTGTTATTAGACTCTAGCCTTGCCTAATGTTTTCATTTTTATTATTCTCTACAATTTGGACTGAATTCTAAAATTTTTGCTGGCTATGACTCTCCAAAATAATGTTTTCAATTTTTTTCCTTTTTTCCCATTTTTCCTGATTTGAAATCACAAAAAAATTAAGCTCTGCTTTTCTTAAATCCCTGTGAACTGAATTTAGACAACTTAAGAAAACAACAGCAACTTATTTATATACATAAACCATTTCATACCTGCCTACTGATGAATGGACTTCAGAGTAAAATGGCCTTTATCACTCTTCCAGGATTGTTCTCCATCTTTGTTTTTTCCTTCCTCCCACTATGTTCTCTTTGTAGAACACGAGGCTTCACAACCTGCAAAAAAAAGTGAGCTTCCTAACACCACCAGACCTATTCATCTAGCAATAAACTGTCCTAGCCACGAAACATCAGACAAAACCCAAGACCAGGGTCATTTTCTTCTAAAATGCTTTCTCTGAAAGATTTTTAAAAGAAAAGTAGGGAGAAATGTGAAAGGAAAATAAAAACTCAGGACTCCAATTCATAGGCCAAAAGGAAAAACTTAAGCTGAAAGCTGAATCATGCAACTGTCGTTCCTTTTGTTCCTAAGAAGATATCTACAGATAAAGGTCAAGTATCTCCACTCTGTGTTCAAGAGTGTACCTCATCTTGTGTACAATGCTGATTTATGAGTGTAAGACGAATACATAATTGACTATTCCCCTACATGCTTTTATCTTGCAATCTGTGGATTCAGTAATGTGACCATGGGCTCCCTATTTCCCCTCCAGCCGTCTTTGCCCCTTTAAATACTGAAGCTCTCAAAATCTTCTTTGGAGAAAGGCACAGACCTGTCTCCTGGGCATGTCTTCAACAGTGGCATAATTAACTTCTAAACTAATTGAGATGTCTCACACACACTTTGGTTTACATGAGATTGAAAAAACAAACTCTTCTGAAATACTTAGTTCACCTTTAGCTTCAAACGGTATATTCTCTTATGTTTCAATTAATAAAGATTTAAAATTGGCCATGCTTTTCTGTTTTCATAAATTTATTATATTAAACCTATTGATATTAAACACAATTTTTAAATGCTAAAGCTAATTTTCTTTAAAAATGTTTACATTTTAAAATATTTAGTTTCAAATATTTAACTTTTAAAAACACTAAATCAACCCACAGCATAAAATGACACAATAATTTATGTTAAATTCATTTCATTTCAATTATTGAAAAATCATTTAGAAATCAACTTGTCCAATTCTCTCACTTTATAGATAATGAAATGTAAAAACACTTGGCTGGGCACAGTGGCTCATGCCTGAAATCACAGCACTTTGGGAGGCCACAGCAGGCCTGGCCAACATGGCAAAACCCCTTCTCTACTAAAATATAAAACTTGGCTGGACGTGGTGGCAGGCACCTATAATCCCAGCTACTAAGGAGGCTGCGGCAGGACAATCACTTGAGCCCAGGAGGTGGAGGTTGGAGTGAGCCCAAATTGTGCCACTGCACTCCAAACTGGGCAACAGAACCAGGCCCTATCTCAAAAAAAAAAAAAAAAAAAATCAGTTTTTCACTTTTTGCTGTAGGTTACAAAAAAAGCTATATAACTAAAATAACAATATCCTACACTTTAAAAAGCTCACCAGACTATATTTTTTTCTAAACAAGATTCATAATTTTAAGAGCTTATGAAAGATGAACTTCAGTTAATTACATGATTTTGTTCAATGAAGCAGTAACAGAATGTTAATTTTCAGGTTGTTTCCTTGAACTTCTCATCTCTTAACTGGATCCACAATTTTACTCTTGTTGTTTTTGAAGACAAAGTAGTGCTCTGTCACACAGGCTGGAGTGTAGTGGCCTGATCTCCACTCACTGCAACTTCCACTTCTTGGGTTCCCGCAATTCTCTTGCCTCGGCCTCCCAAGTAGCTGGGATTACAGATGTGCACCACCACATCCGACTAATTTTTTGTATTTTTAGTAGAGACAGGGTTCCGCCATGTTGCTCAGGCTGGTCTTGAACTTCTGAGCTCAGGCAATCCACCTGCCTCATCCTCCCGAAGTGCTGGGATTACAGGTGTGAGCCACCACGCCTGGCCTGGATCCACAATTTTAATATAATGCTCTCCTTTTACACAGTCACTAAAAGCTTTACCATTTCAGGCTGAATTTAACAAGGCAAAAACTCTATCCAAGGTAAATAATGAATAAAGTATGAACTATGATGATAATGTTTTCAGTAACACCTTTAAAAAGTCTAGAAATTCAACTTTAATCAACAGAGCCAGTTATTCATCTGCCTGGCCAATTTCTTAGAATTGAAGGAATAGCTTTCTCCATAAATGAAAAACAATCTAGAAAACAGAAGGCTCTTAAGTTTTAATTGGGAGCACGTGCTTCTCCTCCTATTAACAAGCAGTAGGAAGAATATTTATTTCCTGATTACGCCTTTCCTTTACCTCATACCAATCCAAGTCTACTCCCTGGTTTTCTTTGCCACGTCCAAACCTTCATAACTCAGAAGTGAAAAATGAAGCAGACTCTGAAAGTTTTAAAGTACATCATCATGAGCCAGTTTTAGTTCTAAAACCCAATTTAAAAGAGCTGCTTCCTAACGGCTATATCTACAATGAGAATTCAAATACCTGCCTTAACTCCTTCACAGTATTGTTTTGAAAAATATAAAGTATTACATGCAAAAATGAGTTTCTCATATTACTAACATCCAGAGAATAGAAGTTTGTAAGTAATCCCAGAAGCTACTGCATGAGTCTCAATACAGAAACATCCCTCAGACCTGTTAAATAGCTGTCCAATTTCCATGTGAACACATACCATGACAGGAAGAGGGCAGCCTCCTCTAATACCTGTTTGAATATTAGACGAGATCTCGGGATGAACACACACTGGCCCTGGTTAAGCAAAATATCTACTCCATATTTATAGAAATGAACTGAGTCATTTTTCAGTCTTCTCCAACCCCAAAATTCCCTAATGTTTTGCCTTTTGAAAGGTAACATTTCCTTTTTTCAAATAAAGATAGCCATAATCATATCTGTTCTGAAAGTTAATATTGTATCACTCACTGAGCATTTACCATGTGTAAGCATCTGTATATACATAATTTTGGGCCTGTATCATTATTGACAAGAAGACTATTAGTTTGCTATTTATAGGTAATTTGTCCTTCCACTGGCTGCTTTCAAAATTTATTTCCTTAGTATTCTGCAGATTTCCAATGGCATGACCTTAGGGGTAGATAACTTTTATTAATCTGCTTTGGTCTCAAAGTGCTTCTGCAATCTGAAGAATTACATTTTTCATCAACTCTAAGAAATTCTTAGCTATTTCTTTAAATGTTGCTGCTCTTCCAGTCTTCCCTCTGGAATGCCTACAAGGCTCATATTGGACTTCACTCTTGTTCTCTCTCCCTTAACCTCCTCATAATTTCCACTTATTTATGTTACTATACTCTGGTCATTTCACATATTCTCTTTTAGCTGGGTCCAATCTCACACCTTGAGTTTGCTTATTGAGAGAGTCTCACTATGTTGCCCAAACTGGGAGAAACTCCTGGGCTCAAGTGACCTTCCCATCTTGGACTCCCAAAGTGCTCTGATTATAAGCATGAACCACTGCACCTGGCCAGTTTTGTTTTTTTGTCTTTGTTTTTTTGTTTTTAATGACTGTTTTCTCTTATTTATTTATTTAAGACGGACTCTTGCTCTGTCACCCAGGCTGGAAGTACAATGGTGCAATCTCAGCTCACTGCAACCTCTGTCTTCAAAGTTCAAGTGATTCTCGTGCCTCAGCCTCCCAAGTAGCTGGGATTACAAGCACACGCCACCATGCCCAGCTAATGTTTTATATTTTTAGTAGAGACGAGGTTTTGCCATGTTGGCCAGGCTGGTCTAGAACTCCTGACCTCTGGTGATCCACCTGCCTTGGCCTCCCAAAAAGCTGGGATTATAGGCATGAGCCACCATGAGTGGCCCTGTTTTCTCATTTCTACATACTCTAATTGATTCTTACCAACCATACCTCAGGCTTTTTCATAATGTCCTGCTCTTTGTGGCTTTTGTTCTTTTATCTTTCAAATTATTTTTTAAATATACTTTAAAATCTCATTCGATTTGTTCTTTTAATTCAATTATGTAGGTTGCTAATTTTCTGTTCTGTCTTCTGATTTTCCCTCAGTGGCACACGTACTTTTTTTTTTTGGCCAAGAATTTTTTGCTTAACACAGAAAGCCAGTATGTATTTACACTGATAAAGCAATTGCAGATTTATACATATACTGAAAAAGACATGACATATTAGAATATTTTCTTTCTGATGTCCTAAAACCATAATTAAGTCATTTTTCATGTCTTTATTGTAATACAATAAATGTATGTATTTTTAGGGTACATGAGCTAATTTAATATATTCATATAGTTCAAGATCAAATCCATGTAATTGGGATATCCATCATCTTAACTCTTCTGTCTTGGGGTAAATTTCCATCTCTGAACCACTCCCCTTGAACATCTGAATTACTCTATCTATTTTGAAATATACAATAGACACACTCTTTATTCTGTCCTCAATTTCAGTGGGAATTGTCTATGGACATGCCGTGAGTCAAAACTAGTCTTAAGTATTACTAGACTACAGCTTCTGCCAAGTACTCCAGATATGTTACATTCAGTTTTTAGCACTCCTTTAAGAGTCCTACCTTTGTGCAGGAATCTCTTTCCATTTATACATTAAAATATTAGTCCATACAACTTACATCTGGTTTTAATATTCTTTTATCATTTTTCATTAAAAAGGTTTTAACATCCATTTTTTTATTCTGGCACCAAGCATATTTTCCCTTCCTATACTCTTAAAATTCTTCTTCTCAACTAAACATACCCTCAAGTTATTTAAAATTTATGAAGTTCATGCAATCTGCAGGCACATTTAACATATGGCAGCCAGAATAGAACGAAATTTTCCAAAAACTGCTGCCTGGTCCTATTTGGAAACTGGACTTCTATTATATATCTCTCTCTAATTGTTCTCACTGCCACGTTATACTGTTGACTCACATTACACTCTAATCACTTAAAACTCATAGATCTTTGATAAAAGAACTACTTCTAAAATAATTTTTTAAATTGAAAAATGAGACTTCATATTTATCCTACATCAACTTTTTTTTTTTTTTACATTTTCACACGAAACTGAGTCAATACTACTCAGCAAGTGAGAACCTTTAAAACACACACCTGGCTTTCTAGGAAGAAATACGCTTATTCCTGTGTGTAATGCACCCGACTGTTTCTGCCTACACAGTATCCATTCTTATAACAGAACCCCGCTACTTATAAGAAATTTATTCCACATAATTCAGAAGAGGATCACCCTGCACAGGCACAGTGGAAAGTTCCCAATCCCATACCCCAGCCAAGGGGATTGGTTCAGAGACAGAAGTTTACCCCAAGAGAAAAGAATTAGAGCCATTCCTTATACTTTCGTTGCAATTTTTCAATTAAAAGAAAAAAAGACTCTCTCTCCCCTTCTGAGGTTGTAAATACTAAATATCATGTAAGCTTAAAGATGCTGCCCCTACATAGAAAGACAATGTGCTTGAGAACGAAATTAACAGAAAAAAGGAGAGCCCGAAAGACTAGGATAGAAAGACCATGTTATCATAACATAAATTTAAGTCATTAGATATAACTGTGAAACCTTGAAATTCTTAGTTACAAAAACCAATATTCAGTTATTTTTCTCAAGCCAGTTTCAGTCATATTTCTGTCTTGTGAGCAAGAAACCTAATACAATGTAAAATACACTTAATTGCTCTTTATAGAAAATTATCGGAGCGTTCTCTTATTACACAAAAAACTCACCATCTCTTTTGTAGCACTTACATCAAATTCTGTAAAAGTAGCTGCTACTTTGAAAAAACAGGAGGTTGGCCGGGCGCGGTGGCTCAAGCCTGTAATCCCAGCACTGTGGGCGGCCGAGGCGGGTGGATCACAAGGTCAAGAGATC